AAATCCAACACCTCTACAACAAAAAGACAAATAATCCAGTTAAAAAATGGGCAAAGGATATAAACAGACATCTTCACCAAAGAAGACATTCAGGCAACTAACAGACACATGAGGAAATGCTCAAGATCACTAGCCTTTAGAGAAATGCACATCAAAACCACAGTGAGATACCATCTCACCCCACATTACTGGCATGAATCAAAAAAAAAAAAAGAAAATAACAAATGTTGGAGAGGCTGTGGGGAGCTTGGAACTCTTATGCAATGCTGGTAGGAATGTAAAATAGTACAAACATTCTGGAAAACAATAGGGCACTTCCTTAAAAAGCTATAAATAGAAATACTATACGATCCAGCAATCCCACTCCTAGGAATACATCGTAGAGAAATATGAGCTGTCACATGAATAGATATATGTACACCCATGTTCACTGCAGCATTAGTCACAATAGCAAAAAGATGGAAACAACCTAAGTGCCCATCAACAGATGAATGGATAAACAAACTATGGTACATACACACAATGGAATACTATGCAACAATAAAGAACAATGATGAACCTGCAAAACATCTCACAACATGAATGAATCTGGAAGGCATTATGCTGAGTAAAATAAGCCAATCACAAAAAGACAAATACTGTATGAGACCTCTATTATAAAAACTCATGAAAAGATTTACACACAGAAAGAAACAATCTTTGATGGTTACTAGGGAGAGGAGAGGTGGGGAGGAAAAAAACCTAGACAATAGATAAGCAGGAACTTTGGTGAGGGGTAAAACTGTACACAGTACTGGGGAAGCCAACACAACTTGACCAAGGCAAAATCATGGAAGCTTCATAGACACATCCAAACTCCCTGAGGGACCGAATTACTGGGCTAAGGGCCAGGGACCATGGTGTTGGGGGGGATATCTAGCTCTATTGGCATGACACAGTTTATAAAGAAAATGTTCTCCATCCTACTTTGGTGAGTAGCATCTGGGGTCTTAAAAGCTTGTGAGCGGCCATCTAAGATATTTCACTGGTCCCACCCCATCTAGAGCAAGGGAGAAGGAAGAAAACCAAAGACACAGGGGGAAAGATTAGTCCAAAGGACAAATGGACCACAACTACCATAGCCTCCACCAGACTGAGTCCAGAACAACTAGATGGTGCCTGGCTACAACCACTGACTTCTCTGACAGGGATCACAATAGAGGGTCCCAGACAGAGCTGGAGAAAAATGTAGAACAAAATTCTAACTCACAAAAAAGGGCCAGACTTACTGGTCTGACAGAGACTGGAGAAACCCTATGAGTATGGCCCCCTCACACCCTTTTAACTCAGTATTGAAGTCACTCCTGAGGTTCACACTTCAGCCAAAGATCAGACAGGCCCATAAAACAAAACAAGAGTAAATGAGGATACCAGCTCAGGTACAAGGATGAGAAGGCAGGAGGGGACAGGAAAGCTGGTGATTGGGAACCCAAGGTCGAGAAGGGGGGAGTGTTGACATGTTGTGAAGTTGGCAACCACTGTCACAAAACAATCTGTATTAATTGTTTAATGAGAAACTGATTTGCTCATCTAAAGTACAATTTAAAAAGAAAAAGAAAAAGTCTAGAACAAATACCTCAAAAGAGTAACATTTGTTAATTCTGGGGGTTAGTACATTTGTTTTGTTGTTTTTTCAAACCACGCAGTATCCCCTTGTTCTGTTTGAATGACTGCCTCTTGGTCTATGTATAGGTTCCTCATAAGCACAATAAAGTGTTCTGGAATTCCCATTCTTTGCAATGTTATCCATAATTTGTTATGATCCACACAGTTGAATGCCTTTGCATAGTCAATAAAGTACAGGTAAACATCTTTCTGGTATTCTCTGCTTTCAGCCAAGATCCATCTGATATTAGCAATGACATCCCTCATTCCACATCCTCTTCTGAATCCAGTTTGAATTTCCAGCAGCTCCCTATCAATGTACTGCTGCAACCATTTTTGAACTACGTTCAGCAAAATTTTACTTGTGTGTGGTATTAATTATATTGTTTGATAATTTCTATTCTATTGGATCATCTCTCTTAGGAGTGGGCAGAAATATATAGAGTCATTGGGTGCTCTCAAGTTGATTTCAACTCATGGCGACCCCATGTGACAGAGTAGAACTGCCCCATAGGGTTGTCTAGGCTGTAATCTTTACAGAAGCAGATTGCCAGGCCTCTGGGTGGGTTCGAACCACCAACCTTTCAGTTATCAGCGGAGCACTTAACCATTTGTGCCAACAAGGCGCACTCGCTATCTATCTATCTATCTACCTATCTATCTATCATCTATCTATCAACTGTTTGCAGGCACTAGAAAACAACCAATGAAGGCAGAACTTTAGATGTTGAGTGGCCACAATCTTTGAGAGAATGAAAGCACAAGAAGTGAGATCCAAGTCACCTCAAGCTTTTTCCCTAAGACCATTTTCCAATTGACAGCAAGCGGTAACAGAGCTAAAAGAAAACATTAGTACCAATAGGCTAGGAGCAGAAGTCAGAATTTGAGAATGAAAGCAGATGGGACCTGAGGGACAAAATTCTAGAGAGGAGGAAACTACAGAAATGAGAGCCCAAAAATCTGTGTATAAATTCTCCTCAAACCACCAGCAAATTCCTTAGCTGCACATGCACGGGGAAAGACTTCAAGAAACTCAGCAGAACAGGGAGAACTTAAAGAGTTGAATGGAGATTTTAGCAGCTGCAGTGCTAAGGAGGCAGTGATTGGAGTTCAAGCTCTGCTAATATGGAAGCGTTTTGGTAAACACTCCAGCATTTCAGTTGTAAGGTCAAGTAAGTGTCATGACCTAAGAGTAACAGCAAAACTGAAACAGATCATCATTAAAAAGCCTAAATCCAAGTCTCCATAGAAGTAAGGTGATCAACTGGCAGTCTATCTGCCTATGACAATAAGAAAATGTAACACTTTTTTGGGGAAAGAGAATCTTCCACGTTGTCTAATATTCAGTAAAAAATTATGAGACATGCTAAGAAACAGATCCAAAAACCATGAATGCCCACAGGTGATTCAGATATCGGAGTTAGCAGATAAGGAGTTTAAATAATATGATTAAAATGTTAAAGAAAATATAGTAAAGAGAAAGAATTTCACTGGAGCCATGGAATCTGTTTTGTTTTTAAACGGGAGGCAGAGGAGTCAAATAGAAATATTATAATTACAATTAAAAATCTAACAGATGGGTCAAATACCAGCTCAGACACAACAGAACAGAGTTTCTACTGAATAGACAACAGGTCAGTAGAAAATATCCTGATTCAAGGACAAAAAGAAAAAAAAAACACCAAAATTAAAACCCCTAAATTACAGAAAATAGAGTGACATGTGGAATATAGCAAAAGGATCTAACATACACATAATTGGAGCTCCAAAAGAAAAGGAGAGATAGAAGGGGAAAGAAGTAATATTTAAAGAAATACTGGCCAAGAATTTTCAAAAACTGATGAAAATATCGACTCATATTTTATAAGTTTTATGAATTCAAAGCAGGATAATTGCAAAGAAAATAACACTTAGTTACATCAGATTGAAATTGCTGAAGACCAAAGAGAAAGAGAAAAATTTTAAAGTAGTTGGAGAGTGGGAGAAGTGGAGGGGGTACATTTTAAGATAAAAGGAGGAAAACCAGAGTGACAGCTGCCTTCTCAACAGAAACAACGGAAACCAGAAAACAGAAACACATCTTTATAACGCTGAAGGATTAAAAAAAGAAAAGACAATGTAGGACTCTATTCCCAACAAAACTATTCTTTAAAAATGAAAGTAAAAAAAGACTTCATATTAAAAAGCTGAGAGACTCTGTCAACCGCAGACCTGAACTATAAAACCAATACCAAACCATTGCCATTGAGTCGATTCCGACTCATAGAAGTGTTAAAGAGAGGTTTTCAGGCTAAAGGACCACAATGCACATAGAAGTTTTGAACTTTAAATAGAAATGAAGAGCATCAGAATGGAGTGACTTTGACCCACTTCTGTTCAACTTCTCATTCCAACGGAATCATTTGGTGGAAAATATAAGTTCAGATTCAATGAAACGTAGAGAAAAAAGTATGAGATGACCTAGAATTTTACAACTTAACATCATGTAAACATTGTTAATTTTAGTCAAAAAAAGTTAAAAATTAAAAAAAGGAAATTGGACTCTGGGAGTCAGCGGTCTCAGGAAGCAGTTGGTATGTGGGAGTCAAAGGTTATGGCTGACTGGGTGTGTCAGTAGCAAGTGGGTGCTTACCACTGCCACCAGTTGCCCTCCAGTTGATTCTGACTCATGGTGACCCCGTGTGTGTGTCAGAGCAGAACTGTGCTCCGTAGTTTTTCAGTGGCTGATTTGTAGAAAGTAGATTGCCGGCCCCTTCTTTCAAGACACTTCCGGGTGGACTCCAATCACCAACCTTTATGTTAGCAGCCAAGCACTTAACGGTTTGTACCACCCAGGAACGTCAAGCGGGTGCTAAAAACCAAAAAAACCCGTTACCATCAAGTTGATTCCGACTTATAGCGATGTTTTAGGACAGAGTAGAACTGCTCTGTTTCCAAGCAGCGGCTGGTGGATTCCAACTGCTGGCTTCTTGGTTAGCAGCGAACTCTTAACCGCTGGCGCCACCACCGCTCTGGAAGTGGGTGTTAGGGGACAAGAAAATTTTTGGCCATGTGAGAGTCAGGAGCCATGGGCCATAGTTATGCCGTTGGGGTTAGAAGTCAAGTGTGTGGGAGATTTACTAGTCAAGGGTCATAGCTGACTGTTAAGTTGTGGTGGTTGAGTCTAAGGACAGGGGTCAGAGGTCACGGCCCACCAAAGTAGCGGTTGAAACTTTACTGCGGAGAGCGGTTGAGACTCCTGCGCCCCCAGAGAACCCGCCCCTCTCGACCCGCCCCGCGCGCACCACATCCGTCGCTCCGCCCGGCGCTTGGAACGCGAAAGGCGCGCGCTGCTGAGGCGCAGATCAAGCGGCGCAGGGACCCCGCGGGCGGCTCGGGTTTTGGCGGCGCCTGCCTCCACTCCCTCCCCTCCAGCTCTCGGGGCTGACCGGCTGGCGCCGCCTCCCGGGAAGATGGCGCTGCACTTCCAGGTTAGTGCGCCGTGCGCCCCGGACCCCCGCTCCGCCGCCTTGGAAACCCAGCAGGACGCTGGGGCCTGGGGCCTGTGGGCCGAGGATGGTGGAGGAGGCCTCAAGGCCGCGGGGCGGCGCCCCAGAACCGCAGCCCCTGCCCCGGGCCGCGGGGCTGGACGAGCCGTGGGGTGGCGGGTCGATGGGGCAGGGGGCCGGGCTTGGAGCTCGCTCCTCCCGGGAGGGGTGGATGCTGAGGACCGGCCGGGCGGGAGTCCGCCTTCCCCGGCGCCGCGGAACGGGCGGGAACAGCGCCTTTGGCGGCCCCCGGGCAGGTGGTAGCCCGAATCGGCCGGCTTTTGCGCCCCTCTGGTGGGCGCGGGCGCCGTGAACCATCCTTCCCGCCCCGTCGCCGGCCGCAGGTCTGTCGTCAGCTTCCACACAGTCGAAATGGAGCTCGAGAGGGGCCTGGGGTCCGCTAAGAGGGCGGCGGCGGCGGCGGCAGTTGGACTTTAATTGGCTAGAGGCAGGGGCTGTTTCTGTCGGGAGTTGCGAAGGTGGACGCCGCAGCCGCCTCATTGGAGGAGGAAGCGGAGGCAGGGCGCGCGCTGGAGGATCGCAGACCTAAGAATGGTCCTTGGGCTTGAGGAGAAAGGCCAGAGTATCACAGGGCTGCGCGCTGGGATATTGGTTCAGTTGTTCATTCAACAAACATCTTTTGAGCCCCCAGTGTGTGTCAAGCACTGTGCAAAGTTCTAGGGGTAAAGGATTACGTCTTAGTATCCTTGCCCTCATAGAACTCAAAGATGATTACAATGCATGTGAAAAATGTTATGAAATAATTAAGCACAGGATACCATGGGAGCACAGAAAGGGGGCAGTCAGTCGTGTGTGTGTGTGTGTGTGTGTGTGTGTGTTTATGTGTGTGTGTGTTGGAAAGGAGTGAGGCAGAGCTGCTATGCTGCCCAGACAAGGGATGCTTTGAGGAGCTTCCATTCGTCCACTTAATATTTGTTGAGTACCTACTATGCTAAGCGCTGAAGATACAGCTTTAAGCGAAACATCACCGTCTCTACACAGGGAACTTGCGGTCTCGGGGGTCTTGAAAGTATTGTGGGAGTTGAACAGGTAAAGAGGAAGGGAAGGGTATAAAGGCAGGAGGACATTGTAAGCCAAGGCAAAGAATTGTGGCACATTGAGGAAGCTTTCTTTGGTTGGAGCATCCAAACCAAACCAAACCCACTGCTGTGGAGTCGATTCCAACTCATAGCAATCCTATAGGACAGAGTAGAGCTAGAACTACACCATCGGGTCTCCAAGGAGCGCCTGGTGGATTCGAACTGTCGACCTTTTGGTTAGCAGTTGTAGGTCTTAACCACGTGTAGGTTATATAAAAGGGAAGGAGCAGGACATGTCTTTGGAGAGGTAGGCAACTTTATAACGTGGTGACAGTGTATTTAAGTGTCACAGTCCCCTCATAGACTTGTTTGGATCCCCTGTGGTCACACAGACTCATTACTTCCTTATTTATTGATTCTTTCAAAGGGTCTTTTCTTTCCAACCAGTCACTTTCCTGTTAGGTAATTGACAGCTCCAGGATGTTATAAGCCAGGAAATAGCAAGCCCCACACATTACCTTTTGACTCCTTGATATTTCTGAGGGTCCCCAGGTCAAAATAATGTATTTATTACCTCTTTGGTAAATATGCCCTCTGGGAAATTTTCACAGGAAGAATCTCACAGGGAAGACTTAGGGATTGTAAATAATATAATCAGATGTTCATAGTTCAGGTGTAAATCTTGAGAGTAAATTACAAAGTGTTATGGAACTTTGGAACTTTTTCAGACTTGGAAAGATGATGTCTGCATAATAAATCACCCAGTCCTGGAGGACTTCTTCATACTTAGGTGCAGTATGGGAAAAATTAGCAGCTGATGTGAAAACTACCGTTCCATGTTGGTTTCCCAGAAATGTACTTCATAGCACCTGTGACTGATATAAATCAGCCTAAAAGTGTTGGGCAAATAAAGGATCAAATAGTTCGGGGGGCTAGAAAAAAACTTTGAAATCTCTCAGTTTGAATTCTTTTAAGCATAGGGGATCATATTGTTATCCACTTAACTCAAGGAGCATTTGTTCGTAGTGATAACCAGTACCTAGCATTTTGAGTTTTCACATACTCATTGTAGATTTTGAACCACACAACTAACTTGAAAGGTGTGCAGATATATATTTTATTCCTGAAGACGCTGAAGCTCAGCACAGTTGGGGCTTGTCCAAGTTTACAGAATTAGAGTAGGCCCAAGAACTCTTAAGTTTCATGTTCTTTTCACTACCCATATCTAAATGTCACCTACTCAACAGGATAGGTAGTCAAAAAGTATGCCACTGAATGATTAGTGAAGCTGATTTGTGTGGGACACAGGTCACTGCTTCATAGTCTTTTTCACATCATGCTATACATAAAAATTTTTAGTTGTGTGGCTCATGGAGGTAAGCTGGTCACAGCCAACAGCCATCAGTGTGGCTGCCAGGAGGGCAAGGGGGTCAGTATTCCAGGTATACGTATAACCCATTCAAGGCACATGCATTCTAGTTAGGAAGATGTGACTTAGGGGGTACCCTGTCTCTAAGGAAGTAGTGGATCTGGATTATATGAGGGAGGTCACAGTTAGAAAATACAGTTCTATTGCTCTACTGTCTTTCAAAATCCTGTAGAGGTGTTAAATCTGAGTCTTCATAGAAAAAGAATTGGTAGAACATTATGACAAATAAGGAATGTACCCAGAGTTAGCCAAACTGCAAGGCCTAGAACCTAGCTAAGTGGGGAAGATGGGGAGCAGACAGACACTTGAAGTAGAGCTCTATAGGAAATATGTTAATTCAGTTCTGACTTCTTTATTTTTTTAAGCAACTTTTCAGATTTCCAAGAGGGAGAAATTTTTAGATATAAAAAGGTAAACAGACAGTGTCCAAAGTATGGACTAGGACATCATCTGCAGGTAGATGATGACTGAAGTAATGGGTGACAGGATCGCATGGTGGTGAGAAGAGAACATGTGCTTGGGGTCTGTAGACTTATATTTGTCTAGAAATTGACCATTTACTGTATATTTGATCTTGAGCAACTTATATATGTTTAATCTCTGGGCCGCAGTTTTTTGTTTGTAAAAAATGGGCATGCTGAAAATAAGTACTTTGTAGAAGTCTACTTTTAAGGATTGGTTTTGGGGGAAGGAAAAAAAAGGAAATACTTTGTAAACTGTCAAGCGCAAAGACAAGTATTATTCTATTCGTTGTAGAAGTAAGAGTTCCAAGATGCCCAGGAATAAATAAGCCTTTCAGGGATGCTTAGGAAAAGGGAGTGAGGGAAAGAAGAAATGAAGTTCTTGTTTGGTTGCTGTCCAGTTAATTCAGACTCATGGTGACCCCATGTGTGTAGAGTAGAATTGCTCCATAGGATTTTCAAGGCTGTGACCTTTCAGAAGCAGATTGCCAGGCTTGTCTTCCGAGGAGCCTTTGGGTGGGTTTGAACCTCGAATCTTTCGGCAAGTAGCCTAGTGCTTAACTGTTTGTGGGTGGGAAATGAATAGCTTTGAGATGCAGGCAGTGTCTATTAATGGTAATCAAGAAGCTTAATTCCAGAAGGCAGGAAAGATGTAAGGAAGTAGTTGAAAAGAGCTTTAAGTTCAGTTGAGGTGGGATTTTTGTAGTAGTTTTTTTATTATTAGAGAACATTTTTTTCTTGATACAAAAGTCTTTATTATTATTATTTTTAACTTTATTGAGGTATAATTGACATACAATATAGACTGCACAGACTCTGTTTCCAAATAAGGTCACATGCACAGTTACCGGGGACTTGGACGTATCTTTTGGGGGAACACAATTAAACTGACTATTATTATTAGATAACATTAATAATAAACAACTAGCCTTTATAGTATATAGTATATGCCAGGAGTTATGTGGCACTCAATCTTCCAGACAATCTTACGAGGTAGGCACTAGTATTAGTGTCACTTTTTGCTGTCTCGTGTTTTGTTAAACAATTAGGTCTTGTCACTCTTTCTAGCCCAGTTCTGTTTGCAGTCGAAGTCTACTTCTTCAAGGAATCTTAGATCTAGACAAATAGACGGCAGCAGAATCAGTTTGTCATGAAATTATTGTGCGTTTTACCAGTTCTAAAATTCAATCATTCAGATATATTAGATGAAGGAAAAGACTTCAGGGTTGATCATGAGAGGGAAAAGGTAATCCTTTTTGTTTTTGTATTTCTTACCCTTGGAGAAAATATGAGAATTCATATGTATTCCCAAACTATGAATTTTCTGTGCATTTTAATACCATGTACTGTATGTAGTAGTGCTCTGAAAGTTTATAGAACCTATCTAGGTGGGGAAAACATTTAAAATGTGGTTCACTTGAGGTCATCTGTCTTAATTTATCCACTTGTAACCTTTCTTTGGGACATCTATTTTCACTCTAGAAGAAAATCCCAAGTCTGGAATGCTGGACGCTAACCTGTAGAGGGAAGTGGAAAATGCCAGAAAGGAGCCAAGAAAGAGAAGTGAAAAGAGTAAAGGGAGCTAGAGGAGGTCTCATTTCATTGTTACCTGTGTATTCCTGTTAGAATAAGGAATATGCATTTGAAGGACTGTTTCGACTAGAGCAGCTATAAGGCTACCACATAAATACTCCTACCATAAGAGGACAAAAAATAGAATTTCCTTAGAAATTTCCGTTACCTTCATATGCCTACCTGACATTGAAATCTGTGCCAATTTTTTGTCCTCCAATGAATAATTCTCTAGTTCAAGTTCTAAAGAAAGTGAAGTGTTTGTTTTAGTAAGATGCCTTTAGCAAGACTTCTTTTAAGCAGAGAGGAATGTTGAACTCATTTTTTATTCTTTCAGATTGTATCCATGTGTCCTGTATCTTCAGATGAGATTATATTTATAAACTGAAATGTTCTTTGTGTTTATAAAATAGGGACCTGCAATATGATAGCTAGTAATTACATTGCTCTAAGTACCATGGGGTGAAGTCACAGTTCCTGAAAATCATGACATAGTTGGCGTACAGCACTGTAAGTTGTTAGTTCAGAAGCCCCAAATCAGCATGTATTTATACTTACCATCATTTCTTTTTTATAGATGGAGCAGTTAAAGCTCTTACAATTTGCGAAAGAATATAAATGTGGCAGACTAACTGCAAAGCGTGATCACTTCTGCACCCATCTCTCTAGCCTCATCTGGCATCTCCTCCTTGCTGTCTGTTTACTAGTCACACTGACCTTTAATGCCTTGAAATGATTACAGACCTTTCCACTGCAGCACCATGGTGAATGCTGTTTCTTTGCCTGGAAGCCCTTCTAGTCTTTTTTCATCTGGCTCACCCTATCAGGTCTCAGCATAAATGTTACTTCTTCAGGCAAGCCTTTCCTAGCTCCTTGGATTATGCATGTCCTCTCCTTTTCTGTATTCTTAACTTTTCTATCATAGAATTATCAATTTTATAAAGAAATAATTTTGGAGGTAGGAGATGTGTCTGTTTTGTTAACACTGTATTCCCTACTTAGAAGTGGTAGCTCAGTAAGCATGTATTGAATTATTGAGTAAAATCATGATATTTGTATCACTTGTTTCCTGTGGTTAGTATGCTTACCTTATTTTTTTTCATGCAAGTAAAATGTTAATTTTTTTTTTTTTTTTTGCCTCTCAAGAGTTTGGCTGAATTGGAAGCATTATGTACTCACTTATATGTAGGAACTGATCTTACACAAAGAATAGAGGCTGAGAAAGCACTCCTGGAACTTATTGACAGCCCAGAATGTCTCAGCAAGTGTCAACTTTTATTAGAACAAGGAACAGTAAGTATTTCATAACAGTGATTAACCATGAAAGATCAGTAGATATATGTCAGTGTTAATGAAGTGGTATGTGCTAGTGTTGATAACTGATAGATATTGCCATATGTCTTTTTACTGTAGTTTATTTCACTGTCAAAGAGATTAATCAGGGAAAGAAATGAAAAGCCTGGACAGCCTAGGAGGTAGAAATAGGAATGAACTGAAATAGTTTCTTGGTTCTAGCTGGTTCCTTTTTATATTTCGTATGAGTAGGCAAGCATTACATTTTTAGAAAGTTGACTAACAGCTGTTTTTTTAAATCTAAGTAGGGGAGGCAGGTTCTAATTAACTCTGAAACATGAATGATTCGGAGGAGTGCTGACTACTTCTTGCCTGCCTCCCTTCTAGAGGTTCATAGCCATTCATTCAGGAATCATTTAGCAAATCCTTAAATGTAAAACCAGGCACTGCACTGGCTACTTGGTTTATGTACATGCTTTAAAGTAGCTCAAGGGTTAGTTGCGGAGGTAGAGATGTATAAATAAAGAGCTATAAAATGATATGATAAACACTACAATAAGATACTACATGGTCTAGAGCAGAGGTCAGCAAAGTTTATCTGTAAAGGGCCAGATAGTAAATATTTTAGGCTTTGTGGGCCAGGAGGCAAAATTTAGGATATTTTGTAGTTACTTCTATAACAAGTGAGAAGACAAATTTCCACAAAGTTTTATTGATGAAATTCAAAATATAATAATAGTTGAGTACTTTAAAAAAAAAAAAATACAGGGCTACTAATGAGAAGATGGAATTATTTGTTTAGGGATTAATATTTTGCTTAATTGGGGTTCGCAGTTTCCCTGTCATCAGCATTGATTACAAATGCTTGTATGGTAATGCTCATCTGTAATGAGATTTTACTGATTTCATCTTTAAAAATATCTTTTCTCACAGATTGGTACTGCCAAGTACTTGTATCAGTCCATGAGCAAATGATTAAAAAAAAAATTATGTTTGTTGTTGATGAGAATATACACAGCAGAACATACACCAATTCAGCAATTTCTGCACGTACAATTTATTATTATTTTTTCTTTTATTGTTTTGTGACATTAGTTGCAATCCCCACAATGTGACAGCACACTCCCCCTTTCCACCGTGGGTTCCGTGTCCATTAGGCCAGTTCCCGTCCCTTCCTGCCCTCTCGTCCTGCTTTTGGACAGGAGCTACCCATTTGGTCTCGTATATCTGATTGAACTAAGAAGCACAGTCCTCATGTATATTATTTTTTGTTTTATAGTCCTTTCTAATCTTTGTCTGAAGAGTGGGCTTTGGGAATGGTTTCAGTTCTGGTTTAACAGTGCATCTGGAGGCCATAGTTTCGGGGGTTCCTTCAGTCTCTGTCAGACCATTAAGTCTGGTGTTTTTACGTCAATTTGAGTTGTGTTCTACATTTTTCTCCTGCTCTGTCCTGGACTCTTTGTTGTGTTCCCTGTCAGGGCAGTCATTGGTGGTAGCCAGGCACCATCTAGTTCTTCTGGTGTCAGGCTGGTGGAGTCTCTGGTTCATTTGTCCCTTTAGTTCTTTGGGCTAGTATTTTCCTTGTGTCTTTGGTTTTACAGTTTAGTGACACTGACTACATTCTTCGAGTTGTGCAACCATCCTCACCCTCCTTTTCCAAATGGTTCCTCCTCCATTAACATAAACTCACTGCCAGCTAAGTTTTCTATCTAATCTTTGGAGTTGGTGTTGTCAATTTGATCCCGTATACATAGATCTTAAAAGAGCATAATACTCAAGGCAGACATTCTTTACTAGTTAAACTAAACTATTATTTGGTTTTAAGAAGACTTCAGGGGATATTTTTGGTTTAAGGTTTAAAGATTATCTCAGGGCAATAATAATAAATAATTTTTAGGGGTTCATTCAGGCTCCATGGCTCCAGAAAGTCTGGATCCCATGAGAATGTGAAATTCCATTCTGCATTTTCCCCCTTTTGATTAGGATTCTTCTATAGAATCTTTGATCAGAATATTCAGTAATAGTAGCTGGACACTATCCAGTTCTTCTGGTCTCATGGCAAAGGGGGCAGTTGTTTATGGAGACAGTTAGCTACATTTTCCATTTTCTTCCATGAGCATATGATTTTAGTTGACAATATTCATCACTTTGAAGGCATTTATAGAATTCTATTAAATCTTTTCTTGATATTTGCCCTTTAGCATGTCATCACATTGCAGAGAAATCACTTCCAATTGAAGGTTAGGTGGAAGCTTCTCAGTTGTGCAGTTAAATGGATTTTGAAATATGGAAATTTACTTTGTACTTGCATCAAGATCTAAAAAACACTGCTGTAGCTGTAATTTGAACTCAGAAAATGTATTTGCTACAAATTTGCATGGAAATGAAGATCTTACTACTTGTTCTAACTCCTGACAGCATGGGAAGTGTATAAAGTAGCTTGACATTACATGTAATTCAAACACAGTTGTCATCGAAATGACTTTATGCAGTATAATCACTCAGCACTGTTTGCCTTTTAGGATATTTTGTAATTTTAGGTTGAATTCATTAAGAAACATTTTCAAGTGTTCAGCAAAAGCTTATTTCCAAAACCATTTAGTGTTCAGCAGCAGTGTTTGAGGGTAGTTCTTCCCTTCAGGAAAATTTCAGTCCTGAGCTCAAAAAATTGCAATAAAACTTTACCACAGCTTAGCTATTGAATATTGTGTGGTAGGGAAAGTCAGGATATTCAGCTTCTATCTCTGAAGAAATTCGCAGAGCTGAAGATAAAGTTAAGTCTACCAAAGCAAATGCAATCTGCTGTTAACACTACTGATTAACGTATGATAGATGCAAGTATTTTCTACAGAGCACCTGCTGATGAGTGATTCAGTGAATACTATAGGCTTTAAACATCTTCCATTTTCACAAGCTCTGCAAATTTGTCCAACTAATCCCTCTTCTGCTCCACATATTTTTACCACCATCAGTCATAATACATCTTAGCAGATTTTACTTCAGGTTGTACCGAATTAGTGTTTTCCTAACTTCTTTGAAAATATTCTAGCCTGTGGTTCCACACAGACTATTCATTGAGGCTAATTCTTCAGTCACTTCAAACTCAGCATTGACTTCTGAAATAAATAGACAGTATGTCTCAGTAACAGCAACCGTATTAGTAACAGCTGTCCGCTCATCAGGAACCTCTCCAAATCATTTGTATTGTTTTTAAATTGACTTTTGAGGTTGTTCCAGTGTCCTCAACTCTTTGAGCTTTTGTCCTCACTGAAAGACTAGTCGTCTTAAGTTTGTTTTCTCTACATACATAACTTCTGTTGCTGCAATGAAATGATAGTGATTTAATTAATTCACCATTAGTAAATGGCTCTTCTTGCTTGGCTAACAAATGTTCTGTTAATTTTCAGTTGGAAATTCAACAGGCCTCACTTTCATATTTTATTTTTGCGAAGAACTTCCTCTGTGATGAGGTATTTTGTTGTGAATTTTTTACTTTTTCTGACTTGCTTTCTTGTGAGATGGGACTATTAAAAGTGCTTAGTGTGATATTGTCAACCTATATTATATTCTTTTAGGACAGTTATAGTGTCACTGCAGAGCCCTGGTGTCACAGTTGTTAAGCACTTGACTGCTAATCAAAGGTCGGCAGTTTGAATCCACCAGCCACTCTTTGGAAACCCTTTGGGGCAGTTCTACCCTGTCCTGTAGGGTGGCTGAGAGTCGGACGCTACTTAATGGCAATGAGTTTGGTTTTATAGTGTCATTGCATAAAAAGCACAATGCTTTGCCTTGTAATACAATAACAAAATAATTCATACTCATTCATGTTCCTTAATAGTTAGACATTTGAAGTCCACCTTTATCTTTTCTTGTTTTGACATGATAGATATGCACTGGTAATAATAAAACGTACATGCCATGTCATGGTGATACCCATGCCACTCTAGATACTGGCAAGTTATAACTACATCACTGCAGTTTATTGTGAGCTCAGCAGCAATAGGAGAGCCCCACTTATGGTCTCTGTCTCAGCTATTCAACTCTGCCTTCATAGCGCAAAAGTAGGCCTAGACAATATATAAATGAATGAACGTGGTTGTGTTTTAATAAAATTTATTTATAGATACTGAAATTTGGATTTCATATAATTTTCACATCACAAAATATTATTCTTTTGATCGTCTTATCAGCTGTTTAAGATTGTGAAAACCATTCTTAGCTCATGGACTGTACAAAAACCGGCAGTGGCCTGCATTTGGTACATGGGCTGTAGTTGGCCTACCTCTTGTCTAGAGAAAAAAAGAGGGACTGTCTTTGCAAGAAATTTCTGGGGGTAGAGTGAATAGTTGAAGTGAATTTTGAAGAATGAGCACGTGCTTACAGAGTTTGAGTAAATCACTGTTAAGACATTTGACTGTGTGGATCATAACAAATAATGGATAGCATTGAGCAAAATGGGAATTCCAGAACCCTTAATGGTGCTCGTGCAGAACCTGTACATAGACCAAGAGGCAGTCATTCAAAGAGAACAAGGGGATACTGTGTTGTTTAAAATCAGGAAAAGTGTGCATCAGGGTTGTATCCTTTCACCATACCTATGCAATCTGTATGCTGAACAAATAATCCAAGAAGCTGGACTATATGAAGAAGAATGCGACATGAGGATTGAAGGAAGACTCATTAACAACCTACTATATGCAGATGACACAGCCATGCTTATTGAAAGCGAAGAGGACTTGAAGCACTTACTGATGAAGATCAAACACTATACTCTTCAGTATGAATTATACCTCCACATAAAGAAAACAAAAGTCCTCACAATTGGCCAGTATAAACAGAGAAGAGATTGAAGTTGCTGAGGATTTCATTTTACTTGGATCCACAAGCAGCATGCATGGAAGCAGTAATCAGGAAATCAAATGACATATTGCATTGGACAAATCTGCTCCAAAAGACCTCTTTACAGTGTTAAAAAGCAAAGATGTCGCTTTGAGGACTAAGATGTGCCCAACTCAAGCCATGATATTTTCAGTTTCCTCATTTGCATGCAAAAGCTGGACAGTGAATAAGGAAGACCAAAGAAGAATTGAAGCATTTGAATTACGGTGTTGGTGAAGAAGATTGAATGTACCATGGACTGCCAAAAGAACAGACACATCTTTCTTGGAAGAAGTACAGCCAGAATACTCCTTTGAAGCGACGGTGGTGAGACTTTGTCTCACATACTTTGGACATGTTATCCGGGGGACCAAACCCTGAAGAAGGACATATGCTTGGTAAAGTAGAGGGTCAGTAAAAAACAGGAAGACCCTCAACAAGGTAGACTGATAGAGTGACTGCAACAATGAGCTCTAACATAGCAGCGATTGTGAGGATGACGTAGGATCGGGCAGTGTTTTGTTCTGTTGTACGTAGGATCTATGTGAGTCAGAACCGACTCGATAGCACCTAACAAAAACAACATTAAGACAGTTAAGGATCCCTGGTGGGGTAATAGTTTAGTGCTAGGCTGCTAACCGAAAAGGCCAGCAGTTCGACCCCGCCAGTTGCTCCGCTGAAGAAAAGGCCTGGTGATCTGCTCTCTGTAACGATTCCAGCCTAGGAAACCCTATGGGGCAGTTCTACTCTGTCCTATAGGGTGGCTATGAGTTGGAATCGACTCCACAACAGACAACATTAAGACAATTGATGGCTAGAGAGAATATAGTCAGACATGGTTCTGAAGGAGCGGGGAGGTGAGAGTGGGGAAGGCATTAAAAGCAAGTAAAAGAAAGCTGTTATAGATAGACCATTGTGAAGAGTGGAACCAGGTGAATTTGAGGAGATAATCAGAGGCCTGATCGTGTAGACCATAGTAAAGAGTATTTTATTTGAACTTGCCTGTAGTCGTTTATTTCTACGATTGCTTCCTGTTATTTGAGGATGCTACCTGCACTTCCCTCAGCTACTGATCCATTACGAGGGATTGTATGTTGTATGTATATGTGTGTGTGTGTGCATTATACAAATGTAATCAGCCACTTTGGAAAACCTGAAAAATTCTCATCCTTGCTTAGGAAAAGTTTCTGTCATAGTGTTTTGATTGATCTAATTTCATTTGTGATAATAATAAATAAAAATTTATTGTTCTTTACAGACATCCTATGCCCAGCTCCTTGCAGCAACATGTCTTTCAAAACTTGTTAGCCAAGTCAGACCCTTACCTATTGAACAGAGGATAGATATCAGTAAGTGGTTTATTATGCCTTTATGAAATTGTAGTTTATAAATAAACTTTTCTTTCTAAATATGCTAAACTGTTACTATGCATGTGAATTGTTTAATTCTGCCATTTTTTTTAGGATGAGTAGTCAAAGTCTTCTTTTTGCATCCAGTGACGAACAGTGGTTTGTGTTATACAAAGCTACATGTAATCAAAAAGGCATTTTAGTTTCATAATAAATAATAACTAGCATTTTACAGTGTTTACTATTTGCTAGATTTGTACTATCTCATTTTATCCACCAAACAAACTTAGGAGATGGGCACTATTGTTATTCTTGGGCAAACAAGGAAATTGGGTTTGGATAGACTCTAACTTGATCAAGGTCACACAGCTAGGAAATCGTAGAGTTGTGATTTAAACCTAAGCTATCTTTGTATAGTACATACTCTTTGCCATTGTCTTAGCTAAATATGCAACTGAATGTCAGGGAAGAAGTCAGCTTCTTAGTATTTCTCAGGATGCTGTACCAGAATTGTTTGGGATGTGTGTATATAGGAGTTTGCTTTTCATATAGACAAAGTTCTAATAATCAAGCTGAGATTTTTTTTGTCATCTGTGTTGGTTTAAGAAATAAATACTTAGACTGTTGACTCATTTCTGCTCTCTAGCCTCAAGGTTAACACGATTTATATTTGTGTATCAGAAAAATTAAAACGTTTTATGTATTAAGGACCTTTAAGGTCAGTTTGTGAATGGCCAGAGTCGCACAGTGATGTGTCTTATTTGCTTCATATATTTGACTGATAACTTCTCTAACTACACAGTGTTTTCGGCGTTTACAGAAAGATTTATCCATGCACTCGTGGACTTCTGTGTTTACAAAAGCAAAACAGAAATTTACATTTTTTAAAATAAGATTTAAACATTATAAATCTAAGTCATAAAATATTGTGGTTTTGCTTTTTATTTGACTTATTTTTAAAAGGGGCATTAAAAAATAAAGTAATACTCATTAAAGGAAATTTGTGAAGAAAGAGGAAAGTAAAAACCTACAACATAGATAATACTAACCTAAAACAATTTTTGCATTTGAATGTTGGAAACTAGTATCTGGTTTCCCAAACGAAGGGCCAGACAAAGGACCTTAAACTAATGTGCCTATTTGATACTTTCTTTCTGTATATGATGCAAATCTCTGATTTCTGAATAAGACACTGAGTTAGTGTGCTGAAATAACAGCAAAATATCGCAAAAAATTTCAAACAAAAAAGGATGGGTTTCTTTTATGAGTTTCTTTGGTTTAACTTACCACTCTTGATTTCTGTAAGTAGCTTAGAGTATTTGTCATGACGTGATATGTCTAACTGACATGTGTGAGTAGAATAATTGATATGCCAGTTAAAATGGAAAATACCTCAGCAGTCAACATTTTATCACATCAGCTCCTCAGTCCTTCGTGATATGATTCCATGCTACATATCTCATTATGTCCCAGCATAAACTCTGTTGCCAGTTTCTGTATCAACTGTACTATTTTCTGCATTTACTTGTCTAGCTTAATAGGTTCCTGTTGCTCATCAGTTAAGTACCATTTTCTCAGCTTAATATTGTAGTTCCTTTATGAACTTGTGATTGAAGGACCAACCTTACTTAATTAGCCTTATATCTTTGTTGGTACTAGCCTATTAGTTGTTCCAGAAGGTCCACCCCTCATGACACCTTATTTCTGCCTCTGTGCCTTTTCTCATGCTATCTCTGTAAACTGGAATGCTGTCCTTTTCGTCTTCTGTTCAAAGGAAAGTATAAGTTTAGTTACCTATGTAAATTAATCGGCCCTCCCTCCCTTCCTTCTTTCTTACCTTACAAACAGCTTTATTGAGGTATAATTTACATACTATTAAGTTCACTTGCTTTAAATGTACAATTAATGATTTTTAGTAAATTTACAGAGTTGTATAAACATCACCACAGTCCAGTAGTAGAAGGTTTTTATCACTCCAAAAAGATTCCTCGTGCTCATTTACAGTCAGTCCTGTTCCCAACCCCGTCAGTGTGCTTTCAGTCTCTATAGAGTCACCTTTTGTGGCTGTTTCATATAAATGAAATCATACAATATGTAGTCTTTTGCATCTGACTTCTTTCACTTAGCAAAATGTTTTTGAGGTTCATCTATGCTATAGCATGTATGAGTATTTTGTTACTTTTTATTGTTGAATAGTAGTCCATTGTATGGACATATGACATTTTATTTATCTCTTCACTAGTTGATGGACCTTTGGGTTGTTTCTACTTGTTGGTAACTATGAATAATGCTAATTTGAACATTCACATGCAAGTCTTTGTGTGGATGTATGTTTTCATTTCTCTTGAGTAGATAGATACCTAGGAGTACAGTTGCTGGGTTGTGAGGTAAATTTATGCTTACCTTTTAAGGAACTGCTAAACTGTTTTCCAAAGTAGCTGTACCGTTTTGTAGTCTCACTAGCCAGAGATGAAGGTTCCAGTTTCTCCATATCTTCACCTCATAAATCCTTTCTTTAGCATCTTATGGTAGTTTCTTTTTATTCCATGTATTCATAATTCATATACTAGCTCTCTAGGCATAAATTATAGCTCATATTTGTAAGTGTTCTTGGATTTTGGAATTGTTTCCATCTAAGCATTTTAGTTACATATTGAGGTATTTACTTTCTCTTTACTCTTTTCCAAATGGCATGCTAACTTTGGGGTCAGAGTAGAAATTGAATCTTTCCCCTTTATGTTATATCCTTTTTGTATGTTTTCTGATAAGACTTTGTGGCATATTTGTTAGCTGACTTCAATTACTTAGTCCACTAGAAGCTCATAGCTGAATTTGCTACTCACCTTTAATAATTTTGGTATATTAACTTTATTCCAAACTTGAATTTACTTTTCTTACTTTCTTCAAGTTCTGTACTTACTTTATTATATTGTACTATTTGTATTTCTATATGCACTTTAAACAGAGCAGTTAGTTTTGCTATAACATGACATATGTGTTCCTGAAAGTAACTGTGCTGTGTCATGTCATGCAGTAAAAGCCATAGGGCTTAAGAGAAAAATGGGGTTTTGGAAACTACATTAAAAAACTTTGTCAATGACACATTAAAAAAGAGACAGGAATCTAATAATAAAGTGGCAGCACAGTTTTATACATGTTAAATGGTTAAGAAATTCATAAGTACTATAATAAATATGGCACTTTATCTTGATAAAGACCCGAAGTTTGTGAAAGTAGGCTTCAGAAGAATCACAGCTCATGAGTTATTATGAAGTGATAGAAGGAAGATTATTGAAATGAGATGGGAAATTGTAACACCAAATGAGGGTGAAAGTGGCTCATAATACACAGGGTGAACTGATGTAGCTGATGCATGTTAGAAGTTGTGCATTTTGTGTATTCTTACATGGCTTGGCCTGGTTGCAGTTTCCTGCATTCACCTAGCTTTTTTTCTGTGGATGAAATCACATATAAACAAAAGTGACATTCTTGTTGTGTTCAAATTATAGTCAGTCCTCGGGTTACGAATATCCATCTTACACACAACCCATAATTACGTACTATCCTCCATAAAGCCTATTATTTTAAAAATTCAAGGTACATACAATGGATTGTAATAACAAATGGGTGCTACTTTGTGGTGCGCATCAAAATATTATCATTATTATTACTATGTTATGTTAAAGATGTTTTAGTGTATCTGGAAGTGTTTCTTTAATGTTTCTTATGCATAGAAAGGTACACTGCATACTGTATACTAAGACAAACATTTGACTAACTGACGTTAGATACAAACCGTACGTAACTGTTCCAACTTACGTACAAATTCGATTTAAACACAGACTTAGGAGCAGAACTCATTCGTAATCCAGGAACTGCCTGTATTTCCTAACATATTGATTGCATTGAAACAAATCTGTGTTTTCAAAACAAGCCTTATAACAGAACTGACTACATAGATAAGTACATATCTTAGGGAAAGGGATTAACTTTTTGTCAAAGAGCGTGTTATTGACTTGTCTTTTTCTTCACGTGATTTACGTTATGTTACTGAAAGGTCCGAATGATCACAGAATATTTTCTTTATAGGAAACTACATTCTGAATTATGTGGCATCACAGCCCAAGCTGGCTCCCTTTGTCATCCAAGCTCTTGTTCAAGTCATTGCTAAAATAACTAAGTTGGGTTGGTTTGAGGTTCAGAAAGACCAGTTTGTCTTCAGAGAAATTATCACTGATGTGAAAAAGTTTCTACAGGTAAGAAGGTGTTATTACATTATTGGGACATCACTAGTTGTTTTTTAGTTTAGAATACTCTTCTTGTAAAGTTCTATGATTTGATGTGTGGCTGCTAGTACTGTATTAGTTATGATTTATTATTCATTCTCAGGTCCTTTATCTTTTATTGTAAGTAATAAGGATTATGCTGTTATAGAGTTATATAACTTCCAAACCAGAAGAATGCAAATTGTAATGTTTTCTAATTTCAAAAATAAATGCTCTTCCATTTGTGATACATGTCTGTTTGTGTACAACATATATACAAAATATGTATAATGCTTTTCATATATTATCTAATTTAATGCTTATTACAGTCCTGTGAAATGGATTTCATTTTGTCAATAAGAAAACAGGCTTAGAAAGGTCAAGTAACCCCCATAAAGTAACAGTGACCTAGTAGAACATAGAGCTAGCACTTCAGCAAGTCTTCTACCTTAAGATAGACATATTTGAAATTTTTATACTATACCACATTGACTGTATCAATTTCCTAAGAATGTTTTCAGCCTAACTGATTTAAGTAAAGTTATATGCACTTTTTTTTTAATTGTGCTTTAAGTGAAAGTTTACAGCTCAAGTTAGTTTCTCATACAGAAGGTTATACACACATTGTTATGTGACTCTAGTTGCTCTCCCTGTAATGTGACAGCACACTCCTCCTTTCCACCCCTGATTTCCTGTGTCCATTCACCCAGCTCCTGTCCCTTTCTGCCATCTCATCTCGCCTCCGGACTGGAGCTGCCTGTTTAGTCTCATGTATCTACTTGAGCTAAGAAGCACACTCTTCACGAGTATCATTTTATGTCTTACAGTCCAGTCTAATCGTTGTCTGAAGAGTTGACTTCGGGAATGGTTTTAGTCTTGGGCTAACAGAGAGTCCAGAGGCCATGTCCTCTTGGGTCCTTCCAGTCTTAGTCAGACCATTAAGTCTGGTCTTTTTACTAGAATTTGAGTTCTGCACCCCACTTTTCTCCTGCTTTGTCAGGGACTGTTGGTTGTGTTCCCTGTCAGGGCGGTCATTGGTGGTAGCCGGGAGTTATATGCACTTTTAACATTTAAGTTACACAAATTCAGATATTTGGACACCTGAAAAAAAAAAGGCAAAAGGAAATTAATTTACATTGTGCTAGTAATTCCACTTGCCATTCCACATAGTAATTGTGTGTCCTGGGGTGAGTGTAATTTGGAAAATCTAAATCTGCTGTTGGTTTCTGTATGCTTCCTTCTTAGGATGATAATCATGCCCTGTTTAGTATAATTCAGATATTTAAATATCCTTTTTTTTTTTCTTACAAACACTATTCCTAATTACAAGACACTACCTTAGCTGGTGCTTAGCTGCAGAAGCAGTAATCTGTGACGATTCTAGAGGAAAAACTGGGGATGTTGGATAATTGAGAGATGGTTCAGTATTGGTTTATTGGCAATTAGGGGTATTTTTGACTTTCTGAGATTTTACTTCTTATATAGTAACTTTAAAATTTAACTGCTGTGTAAGATATAACTCCATCATATAGTGTAATACTGGAAACTTCAGAATATGAAATACTGCTTCTCTTTTATTCATGTTGTTAAATCCTGGGTTAACAGATATTCCCAGGAGTAAGTGCATTTCCTAGCCCTGAGGAGATCAATCTACAGTGAGGCAGAGGGATAGTTTATTGTGAGACTGGTGAGCTTCTCACTTTAGAGTTGTGCTTATAATTCTGGCTAGCACAGTAGCATCCTCCTGAAGGCTATAGGGTTGCCATGAGTCAGAGTTGACTAGATGGCAGTGGGTTTTTGGTTTGGTTTCATATTATTTGCTAAGATTCCACCCAATTTGTCAAGAATCGTTAGTGATAGGCAGAGCTAACATGGCACTATAGACAGAAGTACCATGCTGTTCCTCTGCAGCAAAGACCCGAAAAACTAAGTAAAACATTTAAACATCAATCCTGGAACCCTGAGCATCAAGTGAAGGAATAAAGAACTCGATCAAGCACCAAGTGGAATAAGAAACTGACGAGAACAGAGAACGAGAAGAGCTACATAGTAGAGGTCCCCTACCAGCTAACGCAACATGGATTCACCGTCTTGGATTATAGCCACCAAGGAACGCAGACAGGAAGTATGAGAAGGCAACTTCATGGAGCTCCCAACAAGAGACAGAGCACCCGGTAACCAGGGATACACGCTTTCCCAATCCCCACTCTTCTTCCCTGTACGTGGCCTCCACTGCTTTCCGACAGGTCAAGGTCAGTCAGCTAGAGAGAGACCGACTCACTCCTGCCTACATTCGCCATCTTGGACCTCAGCCATTAAGGACTATGGACAGGGAGTACAGGAAGGCAGCTTCATGGAGCTCCCAACAGGAGACAGAACACTCAGTAATCAGGGATGCACACTTTCCTGCCCTCGCCCTCCTTCCTTCTACATGGCCTACACCACTTTCCAATGGGTCACGGTCACTCGGCCAGAGACGCCAGCCAACTGCAGCTTGGGTCTGCCCTGCCCTTACTGGCTGGCCCCTTCAGTGGCATTTTTTTGTTCGTTTGTTGTTTTTTTTTTTTTTGGTTTATTTTCTTTTGTTTGCTATTATAGTTTTGGCTGTTTTTTGTTGCCCTCCTCTCTCTCTTCCATCTTTTTGTTTCTTCCATGCACCTAGCCACGTTTGCTGTCCTCTCCCTTTCCTGATGGGTTGTGATTTTTTTTGCTTTGTTTGCTCTGTTCTTTTTGTTGTTGTTCTGTTTCTTCTGTCCCTTTCCTTTCCTTCCGTTCATTTCTCCTGCCTACCTACCCCTGTGTACCGCCCCTGCCCCTTCTCAAGGAGCTGAACTGCATCACTTGGCTGGAGAGTCACTGTGCACGGCCTCCCTGGATCTGTACCGCTGTCACTGATTGGATCCCTCAGTGCCATTTAATTAATTAATTTTTTGTTTGTTCCTTTTTGTTTTTTTTCTTTTTTTAGTTGTTTCTTCTCTCTCTCTCTCCCTTCTTTCCTTTCCTTTCTCCAACTTACCTAGCCCCGTGCACCCTACCCACCCCTTCTTGGTGGGCTGTGCTGTACTGCTTGGCTAGAGAGCGCCTGGCACATGGCCCCCGCCAGGTCTGCACCACCCCCTCAGGCTGGCTTCCTAAGTGCCATATTTTTTATTTTTCTTTAACTTTCGCCTTCTCCCTTTTTTCTTCTCCCTTCCACCTAGGCCTTGCACTGCCTTTGCCCTTTCCTTATGGGCCATGCCCGACGAAGAGATATCAGCTTGCCTGCACCCCAATTCTGTCCTGCCCCTTCAGGTCGATTCCCCCACCACCATACATATTTTTTATTTACTTGTTTGTTGGCTTCTTCTCTCCCTTCCCCTCTTTCCTTTCCTTTCTCCTACCCACCTAGCCCCGTGCGCCGCCCATACCCCTTCGCAATAGATCAAGCCGCACCACTCGGCTAGTGAGCCACTGGCACGTGGCTTCGCCTGGTCTGCCCTGCCCCCACCTGCCACATCCTTCCGTGCCACCATTTTATTTACTTTTTCCTTCATTTTTTTCTTTTTTTTTTTTGCTTTTTCTGTCTTCCTTCTCTTCTTTCACTCACCCACTGAGCTCCACACATAACATCCTCTCCCTTCCCTCTTGCCTGTCTGCACAGTGCACTGAGCGTCCCTGTGTCACACCGACACGGTCCCCTGGACCCCACCTTTCACTGTCTACTGGCCCACCCCATCAGCCGCAAACTACCTATCCCCTCCCCTCCAACCCCACTTGACCTACCTTGCTGCACCATAGCTGAGTGACCAATCCTGCCCACCTGGACAAGGTGGTGAGAAGTATTGTGCCCACAGGTGAGCAAACAACAAAACACACCCAGCCCGCCTGCCCAGACATCACCAAATAAAACAAAAAAGCAGGATAAAATAAACAAATCTACAGTCACTAAATGAAGAAAGTAATTTCTGAATGTCCTGGAGATAGCAGACAATATCAAAACATATTAAAAAAAAAAAAAAAGACAGGATGGCTCCAGGAAGTGTCCAAAATAAAACACAGATGACCTTCTGGTAGAAGAACAGGCACTGGAGCTACCTAATAGGGAATTCAAAACTAATATTCAGGGTTCTCCAAGAGATGAAGGAAAATGCAGATAAAAATAGGGAAAAAATAGACAAAGTCAAGGAAAACACAAAGCAGTGGAAGAATTCAGGAAAATAATACAGGAACAAAATGTCAAACAACTACAAATCATACAAAAACAGCAGTTAGAAATCCAAAAGATAAACAGTAAGATTTCAGAAATGGACAGTGCAATAGAAGGTTTTAGGAGCAAATTTGAAACAATGGAAGACAGGATCAAAATTGAAGACAAATCCTTGGATACTGGTTTGAGGAAACATAAGAGAAAAGAATGAGGAAAAATCATGAAACCCTGAGGGTGATGTGGGGTACAGTCAAGAGCAAAAACTGGCATTTCATCGGCATTCCAGAAGAGGAGGAGAAAACGGAAAAGACAGGATCATTGAAGATATACTGACTGAAAACTTCCCTGATATCATGAAAGATGAAAAGCCGACAATCCAGGAAGCTCAAAGAACCCCATATAGGATAGACCCCAAAAGAAAATCACTAAGATATCATAATTACACTCACTGAAACCAAAGACAAAGAATCCTGAGAGCCCCTCGAGAAAAATGAAAAGTCACATACAGAGGGGAAACAATAAGACTAAGGTCTGATTACCTGGCAGAAACCATGCAGGCAAGAAGGCAATGGAATAACATATATAAAATCTTGAAAGAAAAAAACTGCCAACCAAGAATATCCTGCAAAGCTCTGACTCAAATGTAATGGTGAAATTTGGACATTTCCAGATAAACAGAAATTAAGGGAATATATAAAAATGAAACCAAATTTATAAGAATTATTAAAGGGCATCCTTTGGTTAGAGAATCAACAACATCAGACAACCTGAGTCTAGGACACAAGATAGCATCAGTGAGATACCAATCTAGGTAATGAACTCTCAAGGATAAAACAGAACAAAGATTTACAACAGAGAACCAGAGGGGTCAGTTCGTAATTGACAACAACATCAGAACAATAAAAAAGAAAAAGAAATGGTGAAGGTATAGAACTTTCAAATGGAGAGGAAGTCAAGGCGATATCAAGTAATAAAAGACTGGTTTAAACTTAGGAAGATAGGGGTAAATTTCAAGGTAACCACAAAGGAAGTTAACAAACCTACTCATCAGAATAAAGAAGAAAAACGTAAAGTCTCAGTAAACACAAAATCTACAAAAAAAAAAAAAAAAGATGAAAAAAATGAACGGATTCAGCACAGAAGAGTGAGAGGAACAGAGAAAATGTCAGCACCACAAGAAAAAGCATTACAAAATGATAGCAGTATACTCCCACCTATCAATCACACTGAATGTGAATGGCTTAAATGCACCCATAAAGAGAGAGTGACAGAAGGGATTTAAAAAAAAAAAAAAAAAAAAACCCATCAATATGCTGTCTATAAGAGACACACATTAGAAACAAAGTTACAAATATATTAAAAATCAAAGGATGGAAAAAAGTATGTCAAACAAACAGCAACCAAAAAAGAGAAGGAGTGGCAATACTAATCTCAGATAAAATAGACTTTAAAACAAAATCCACAGTAAAGACAAGGAAGGACATTATATAATGATTAAAAGGACAGTCCACCAAAAGGACATAACTATAATAAATATCTTTGCACCGAGTGACAGGGCTCCAAAATACATAAAACAAAACTCTTTAACAGTACTGAAAAGAGAAATTGACAGTTCCACAGTAATAGTAGGAGACTTCAACATACCACTCTCGGTAAAGGACAGAACATCTAGGAAGAAACTCAACAAAGATACAGAAGATCTAAAGGCCACAATCAACAAACTTGACCTCATAGACATATATAGAACACTCTACCCAACAACACGAAGTACACATTCTTTTCCAATGCACATGGAACGTTCTCCAGAATAGACCACATCTTAGGCCACAAAGCAACCCTCAACAAAATCCAAAACACT